GACATATGAGTATTCTTCGAACGATTAGAAATGGCAAATTTGGTAGTTTCAACTGTAGGAATTATATTAAGAATAGTTCTCTCTTCTCAATAATCTTGGTCAGTTTAGGTGCTTTAGGCATTTAAATCCCTATTTTTTCTTTCTCATTCTTCTCTTGTCTATCTATAATATCCATCAAGATCTCAACTTTTCATTTTTTATCGAGGTAAATACCTTTGTGAAAACACTCTCCGATTGTTATAGTGGTGTACTAGTGGTAATTTCAGGAATGGACTTTATTACACATCGTAGCGGTATGAAAGTCCCTCGTTATGGTACAACAACACTTTTTATTTGCATTTCTACTACTACCGCTTCCCTTTTCTAGGAGACAGTTGCGTGCCGAGTGACAACACTTGTGTCTTTGAACCTCTAGCCAAATTCTATTATTTGTGATTCGTCCTAGCCAAACAGGAATAAAATGAAAGGTGATATATTTAGTTAACCATAATCGTCACGCATGTACGGAGGAACAAGAAAGAAAGACTAGAAACATCCTATCACGTCCTCGAAGAATCACGATTATGGGAATGGCCGCCTACATAACCATAATTGAGATTCTACTACTGACGTGTACTCCATTAGCCACAAAAATAACATAAGCTCTGATACCAATTTTGTCACGACCCAATTTAGGATCATGACTGGCACCTAGGAGCAAGTGCTCCCAAGTAAGCTTCATCGGTATTTTATAAAAAATCGGATAGAGTTTCTCCCGTTTTAGGACTATCCAAATATAAACTTGTCTTAGAAATTAACAACACAACCAACCAATATCCACCAAAATAAGTTATAATCCTCATCAAAGAAGTACTCCCAACACAATAATACTAACTTCATCTCCAAAAATATGATAGGAAAAACTAATACAAGTCACGAATCTATATCAATAAAAGAATACTCATGATACTCATAAAAGCGACTATGGAGCGACTCTAAGAGTTTCAAAAAAAAGGCTATAACAAATACATAACAGTCCTTGCCCACGCGAACAACTGCGAGGCTCACCAGAAACTGTTAACTCGTGTACTCTAATTAACGGAATCCTCGCATGCATCTATTGTTGCCTCTGTAAAAATAATAGCGGGGAGTGATGATAGGCTATAATTGCGTATTTTAGTCACTTATTACACTCTAATTTACTGCACTTTAATTGAGTTTGAACTTTAATCGCTAGTGTTTTGCACTAACTGTGTGTTTTATGCCTTGTAGGAGTGATTTCGAGTTATATAGATGTTATGGAATGAATTCAAGTGATTTGGAGCTTTGAAGTTTGAGTAACAGCCCAAGAAATGAAGCCGAGATCGTGTTCAGGGGTCAAATTTGATAGTTAAGAACAAACGAAGACTCGAGTAGGCATATTGCGCACTGTCTAGTAAAATAGACATAACTCTTTGCTCCGAACTCCATTTGGGCTATATAATATATGGTTGGAAAGCTAACTCAAAGGGATACAACATTCATGTTTTACGTTTTCCAAATCCCAACTGGAACAGGGGGGAAAAACGTGGTCGAAACTGCAACAGCGGACCTGGACGCGGATTGAGGCAGTGCACCGGGAAAATACCGCACCTGGACCGCGACCGCGAGTGTCCAGACCTGAAAAATTATCCTTTTTCGCGTAGGAGAAGGTATAATTGTTTGGGCCCGACCCGAATTGGTATATATACATGGAAAAATGGTATTTTGAGGAGGTAGGACATATTTTTGACACAGATTCGACCTAAGGAGGCATAGACATAATAGGAGCAAGGCGGGGAATTCTTCAACGAGTTTTTCCTTCCTCTTCCTATTTTTTCATTGTTGGTCATGACATTTAGTACTGTAGTTTTACATACTATTATGAATAGCTAATTTGTTATCTAGGGTTTTGATGGAACCTTTTGTAGGATAAATTCTTGTTATGTTTTTATATAATTGAGCCGTTGGATTTCTCTACTTGTTGAACTACGTGTTTATTGTTGTTGATTGAATGGCCATCGATTGACTGTGCCTATTTATTATGTGTTGCTTGAGAAAGGATACATATTTAATCCCTAACGTATGTGAGAAATCAACACAGTGGGTTTAAAGGCAGGTCTAGAAATAACAAAGCCTTGACGTGGTCATAATGAGCGGTTAGATAAAGCCAACTAGCGTAGTTCGAGAGAATATGTCTAGTGAATTTTTGTAGTTGCTCGAGAGAGAATTACGGCACCTAAAGTACTCACGATCAGTGGAGAATACATTGGCGAAATTGTAGGGAACATAGCTAGAAGGATTCCGACAACTGGGGAAATCATAACTCTAGACCTCCTTAATTTAGTCTCCAACCCTTTATCTCGTTAGTTGATAATTTTACTGTTTTGTAGTATTTGTTAGTTAATTAGTTAGAAATATAAATCTCAATCTTTATAATTTAGAAAATTGTTCAAACTTGTCTTCTTAGTGATATTAAACAGATATAGCTAAGCCTTAATTCTCTGTGGGATTCGACTCCGGACTTATAGAACGGATTATATTTGCAGCGACCGCTTATCCTTTTTAGGACTAGAGTTGGGCGTGATCAAATTTTGGCGCCGTTGCCGGGGAACTAATGGTGTAGTTGTAGCTGTATACATTGCTAGGTTTCGAGTTTGAACTTTTATTTTGTTTTGTTTTTTTTTTGTTTTGTATTTTCATTTTTATTTTATTATAACTAATGAAGTTATTATTTTAATATGTTTAGCTTTATTTAACCATTTCGCTAGTTAAGTTGTTATTTCCGCATTGATAGGCTTACCTAGTTGTAGGAACTAGGTGCCATCACGACATGTTCATGGAGGGTGAACTGGGGTCGTGATACAACCACTCCAGAATTAGCCTTACCATCAAGTTCTAAAGGACTCACAATATTCGGTTTGAGAGTGAGATTAGGATGTGTTCTATTGCAAAATGGTCGCATTATAGCTTATGCTCCAAGACTAGAAAAAGCACGAGCAAAACTATCCTACTCATGCTTAGGAGTTAGCTGGAATGGTCATTGCTCGGAAGGTTGGATGCTTTACTTATACGGCGAAACGTATGAGATTCATACTAACGACAAGAACTTAGAGTATATTTTCCAGTAGAAAAACTTGAACCTTCGGTAGTGTTGGTGGATGAAAATTCTTCAAGACCATGATTGTTTCATTGGTATCATTATGGAAAGACCAATATTGTGGCTGGTGCATTGAACAGAAAATTTATGGGCAGCTTGACACATATAGTTCTACAAAAAGGACCTTTGGCTAAAAATATGCAGAGACTAAAGGGTACATATCAAATTTAGTATGGAGAATGTAGAGATATTGTTGGCTTGTGTTAAAGCCAAGTCTTCACTAGTAGAGTACATAAAGGCCACTCAATATGAAGATGAAGATTATGTAAATATCGAGATGAAGTTCTAGCTAGTAAAAGCAATGATATAACTATTGACAGAAATTGTATTCTCGACTAGGTAACTAGATATGTGTACTAGATATAGAAGTGTTAAGATGAGTTAATCTTGAAGAGCTCACAACTCTAAATACGCTAATACATTCAGAGCCTAGTAAGATGTACCATGACTAGAAGAAAATTATATTTGTAGAAAAATAAAGAAGGAAGATCAACTTAACATTGTTTCTAACAGTTTAACTTGTTAGCATGTCAACATTTGTGACTCTCAACCGCACTACAACTCAAGATTCTAAAGTGAAAATAGAATAGAATCAAAGTGAATTATATAACAAAACTACCTCAAATAATTAGAAGTTATAATTATATGTGGGTAATAAGATAATTGAAAACTGACTAACATGGTAGGCACACTATTGCCAGTTAAAACTTCTCACTGTGAGGATAAATATACTCAAATATATATGAATGGAAAATTGTCAAACTAGACGGGGTCTATCCATTATTTTTGATAGAAGATCACAATTTAATGCATGATTTTGAAATAATATTTCCAAGAAACATTGGTTATACGAGTAGATCTTTGTACTCTATTTTATCAGCAGACATATGATCCGTCTAAATGTACCATACAGATGTTGAAGGATATGTTGAGAGCTTACATTTTGAGTTTGGAGGTATCTTGTGAGCTTATATATCTATAGCTGAATTTGCCTACAACTATAGCTATCAGTCTAGTATTTAGGTGGCACTGTATGGAGCGTTGTATTAGTGTATGATGTTATTCTCCTATCAGATGGTTTGAAGCCTATGAGACTAAATTATTAGGATCCGACTTAGTACAAGAAGCTATCGACAAGACCCAGAGATCGGATTGCTCACAAATCATAATAGACAAAATTCTTATGCGAATAATAGGAGAAGAGAGTTGGTGTTCACAATCTGGGATACAGTGTTCCTTCGAGTCTCCCCTATGAAAGGTGTGTGGTTTGGGAAAAGAGGCAAGTTGAGTCGTAGGCTTATAGGACCGTATGAGATACTAGGCCGAATGGGAACTGTAGCTTATCGTTTGGAATTTCCTTCTGAGTTCTCTTTTACTCATCCAGTGTTTCATGTCTCTACGCTATAAAAATGTATATCGAACTCCTCTCAAGTACTTGAAGCACTGACTGTACCGCTTGATGAGAAGTTATCTTACGAGGATGAGACGACAGCTATTGTTGATAGACAAGTAAGAAAGCTACGGTCAAAAGAAATTATGTTCGTGAAAGTCTTATGGAGAAATCATATAGTTGAAGAAGCTACATGGGAAGTAGAAGATACTATGCGAGTCAAATATCCTCATTTATTTCAATCTACAAGTACGTAGTTAAGTTAAATTCGGGGACCGAATTTCATAAGGTGGGGAGAATATAATACTTCATATTTAAGTTAGGGTATATTCTTTTAACATAAATTAACTTTAAAAAAATAAGAAAAAAAAACAAAGGAAAAGAACAGAAGAAAACCTAGTCAACTAAAAGAAAGGGCAAAGCCCACTTGAACGAAAAGAAAAGGGGCTTAAGGATGGGGAAACGAAGCAACTGCTGCTAACAAAGTTAGAAGAGAAGAAAAAAAAAGAACAAAAGATTTGGAGGAGGAAAGCAACGATAGCTTCTGGTTCTAAAATAAGAGGAAAAAATCAAGAAGAGTTCCATAGCTGCTAGCAACTTGGTGCTTCAATATAATTATTCCCAACCATTGTTATTTCTCAATTCAAGGTATATCTTGTTATTTTATTGATATGGGTATCTTTGATTTATCATGATTTTAGTTAAATAGTGATATTTGTAACTTAGTGAGTTCCAATTGAAGTGGATGCAAGAATGCTCATGAAAAAAAATCAGATTTTATATCTAATGGATTAATTGAAAAAGAATCAGATTTTAATTAGTTTTTTCTGAAAATTTAACAATTTATATAGATTGTAAATTGAATACCGCTAGGAGATAGAGGTACTGGAGTATATTTGAGTGAATAATTCGCTTTAGAAATTTACCTTGATAGAGACACGGGCAATTAATGCTTAAACAAGTACGAGAATCTTTTATATATATATATATATTACCAAGACTAAACAACTTTCCTTCTCAAAAATTTACCAAAGACTAAAGAATACAAGGAAGGCAGAGGACAACTTTTAGAGGCATCGACAAAAATTCAACTTTGACAATTTGAAAATCAAACATTGAAACCTTAAGAGTGGGATATCTTGAATAGTTACGAATTAGCTTATACAAGTAAGTTGACACTAGATCAATATGATTTGATTATAGATTGATTGAAGGAAATCTTATGGATTGCTTGAGGTAACGTGTTTGGTATTTCGGTACGAGTATGGTGAGGGTATGGTGAGTAGGAATCTTATCGCAATTTGTGTTTTCATAACCTGCATGGTTTATACATTATTTTGAAAATAAAATGTGTTACTGAATGTTCGAAATTGCACGTGGGACAAGTCTTTTACTTGATATGGTACTGAATAGTTTACTTGAGATGTTTACAGTTATTTAAAATATTCTCACTGATACTAGACATATTTTTCTATTACTAGAGATATGATTACCGTTACAGAAATTGAATTACATGATTTGACAAGAATTAAAATGCCCTGTACTGTTTTGAAAATGCTTCCATGTGAAGATTTACGGTTTACAAAGAAAAGTATGAACGGGAGGAGACTTTGAAGGATCCCGTAGCTAACGACGTGTTCGTTAGATCTGGCGCACCTTGTATTTACTGATTACCAAGTACAGTTATAGCCCTCGCTAATGGGAAGGTAGAACTAGCATACAACTATAGTTTTTCCTCGGGTAGGGACTTACAGTTATATTTGACTCCTTTTACGAAGGGATCCACACAGTGATACAGATTACATGGTCCTTTTTTGGAGGCCTCCCAAATATAAAGATTTGCTATGACATAGTATTTACCGAGTTTATTACTGAATTGTTAAATTGATTTTGTTACAGGAAACACATGATGAGACTGATTGTTATTACCGTTTTAAAAAGGGCATTTTAGTTTGTGATTATTATACAAGCATATTTTCTGACCTGTCCCCTATTAAAAATGGTTGGGGTTAAGTATTATTACTCACTGAGCTAGCGACTCACTCCCCGCTATTATTTTTACAGAGGCAGCAATAAACGCATGCGAGAATTCCGTTAATTAGAGTACACGAGTTGACAGTTTCTGGTGAGCCCTGCAGTTGTTCGCGTGGGCAAGGATTGTTATTTATTTGTTATAGCATTTTTCTTGAAACTCTTAGAGTCGCTCCGTAGTCATTTTTATGAGTATCATGAGTATTCTTTTATTGATATAGATTCGTGACTTGTATTAGTCTTTCCTATCGTATTTTTGGAGATGAAGTTAGTATTATTGTGTTGGGAGTACTTCGTTGATGAGGATTATAACTTGTTTTGGTGGATATTGGTTGATTGTGTTGTTAATTTCTAAGACATGTTTATTTTTGGATAGTCGTAAAATATGGAAAACTCTTTTCGATTTTCTGTAAAATACCGAGATGGAGAATTTGTAACCCCCTATTTAGACTTTTGGGCCCTTCATCTTTCTGAATCGAGACCCGGCCCGGCTCGCGTCGTTCCAACAATAAGACTTACTTGGGAGCACTTGCTCCTAGGTGCCGGTCATGATCCTAAATTGGGCCGTGACACTTATCCAGTAAACTCAACTTTTTGTAACAACCCTACTATGTATCCGAACTCCTCTCTTGATGTTTGCATTAGTAATTGTTGTAATAGTTACTGTTGTAGTAGCTGTAAATTGGTGTATGCTACACACTACCTTCTCAGTACGTATGCTTTGCTTTAGTTAATGACAAGTTTTATCTTTCCTACCAAAAAAAAGATTCTACTTTTTAAAGGAATTTACATTAAAAAGTGCATTTCAATTTTACCATTGAGATTTCTAGCTGTCTTGTGCTTTTGTACGATATTCATTCCATGGAGCAGAAGTATACTCCAACTACGAACGCAAACATAATTAGTAAGTAGCCGTGTACAAGCTCCCTACTCAAAATACATAAATGAAATTAATTTCTATGGCCGATTCTCACAGACCTTAAAACGCTTTGGGCCTACTATGGGCATTTCAGAAAAGCCCAATAGAAATAGAGCCCTAAAGAGAAAGTCCATAATCACGAGTGACATTTGGGTGAAAGTAATTGAAAAATAGCCGGCGTTTAGAAAGTTATTGAAAATTAGCTACTAATTTGCTGAAACATGGAATGTTCCAGCATAATATGCCGGATTATAGGGCTCGCATAAACTTTCAGCATATTATGTTGGAACTCTAGCACACAGAAAGTTCCAGCATAATATGCTGGATAATGGAGCTTCTATGTATAAACATCCAGTATTATATATTGGAACTCCAGCATATTATGAAATTTCAGCATATTATGCTGGAATTTCATATGTAAAAAATTCAAAATCCAGCAATTGCTGGAATTTTTTCGGATTTTAAAGGTGTTTTTTCTCAAATTTTATCTTTACACAAAAAAAGTTGCTAAATTTTAATTTTTTTTGAAACTATGGATATTTCTAATTACTAATTGTAAATTTGGCTATTTCAAATCTTTTTCTCTCTTGCCTCTCACATCACAGCACGTGACTTTCCATATACCTTTAAGATTCGCACCAAAGTTTCCAGAAAATCCCGCGCGGAATCCAAACTCACACTCTTAACCGAATTTAAACCCGAGTATACAATCCAATAACCTCATATAAACGCCTCCCGCCCCACTTTTTATTCTCCCTTCGCGAAAAACCCTAGTTCTATATTTAGGGTTTCCAGTTTTGGCCTGTAGATTTTGCTCCTCCTTCTACTCTTTTTCGCTACTTACCCTTACAAATCTTGTTCATTTACGCGTATTTTTGTTCTCTTTAGCTTATACGTAACCAATTTTTACAGTAATTGTTGTTCACTTGCTTCGAACCTCGATCTGTGAGTTAACCTGCTATGGACAACCGAAAGAGAAACAGAAACGATGCTGGTGCCAACGTCAATGGCGGTGTAAAGAAATATAAGCCAGGTTTTTATACATTATTCTTTCATATCTTTTTCTTTAGCAGTATACTTTTTTTTTTTGAATTCATGCTTGTTTGGGGCCCCAGTGAATTGGTCTAGCGGAAAGAGGCGTGATGTGTGTTTACTTGGCGTGATGTGTGTTTACTAGGCGCATGTCACGAGTTCAAACCCAAAGCTTGGTATTTAAGGGGAGAAAGGTTGAGCTGGTATTTAAGTGGAGAAGAGTAGTGGTCGGACTATTTAAGTGGGGATATCTCGCTTATAAAAAAGTTCATGCTTCTTTTGGGTTGTGCTTCGAACTTTTTAACTATGCTTTTGATAATAGGAATATTTATAAGGATTAACTGTACGTCCCCTGTTCAACTTTTGGTATATGTTTTGTGGTTCGATTCAGTGTGGCTATCTTGTACATATGTTGGGATGCATGTTCATTTTACTTTGAACTTCTTTTGATATAGCGGAAGTAGATTTATTAGTAGTTACTCTTAATAGAAAAAACAAAGAAACAGAATTCCTATTTTTAGAGTCCAAACTCCTTTCTTTAAGGTTCATCTGGAGGCAAATATATGACTTCTCTAATTTCTAAGAGGGAATAAGTAGAAAATAAAAGAGAACTTTCTGTCCACATCTGTTTACTCAGAAAGATGTTCAGTAGATTTTTAATTTAATTCAATTGGGCTGAAGGAACAGCTCCATGAATGTTCTGTTATAACATAAAAACTTTAAACATTATAGTATAATATAGTTATCCTTGCATTCTCTGATGGAATGATATGTCTCATACATACATGTGTAATGGCGGATCGAGCATGTAAACAATGGTCCAGCTGAACCCAGCTTTTTTGACACAGGAGTATAGATACATATGTGGGAATTGGTTGGGAAAGTATTACATTGTGAATCCACAATAATGGGTTCAAGGTAAAAACCTTAATGCCGAATCCAGCAAATTAAAATCTTGAATCTGCCTATGTACATGTCAGGACCTTGTCATGTTCCGATTAACTTGTTTTGGTTTAAAAAATGGTAGAAAAAGAAGTCATTAAATTTGTAGGAATTATTCCTGTCGGAAAAAGAAATTTACTGAATTCATGATTCAATATTGCTACAATTGCTTCTCTAATGAGATGGATGAGAAGATTTGGTGAACTTCTCTTATGATATTTAGCTTCTTTCAATGTTTTCAACTTACACAATTTAGTTGAATTTTGCTGGTAATAAGGATATGATATCTGCTAATTTTCATCTAGCATGAATTTTAACAAGATTTCTAACTGGGATAAATAATTAATTTGGTTCAACAGAAATGGACTCCTTATCAAGTGGTATAGGAAGCAAATCAAAGCCATGCACGAAGTTTTTCAGGTTCAAATCTTTGCCTACCTAATGAACTTTAATTTATATAGACTTTAAGTTAATGTGAAGTGCAACATTTACAATTGCTAATATAAATGCCGATTTCTGCTTGTGAGTCTGTTAAATGCTTATAAAGCTGTAGAAGCTTAATGACGATGCAATTGTTTGTGAACATTTTTTGTTGAGAATAGATACTCCCAGCTATAATGCACTTGGAGGAATGAGAATTGGTTTCTAATATATCAACAGTTTTATAAATTTATACCTAATTTTTACTGTAATGGTGTGTTATCAGTCTTTCTTTATACATTGAAAACAGGTATGTTGGTCCACCTTTCATTTCTAAGATGTACTATCTAAAGCTTCTCAAAGTTCTCTCTTTCGGCCTAATAAGGATTTCTGTTTAACAGCTTAGTTGTCGTCTTACTCGACATTCTTATGAACTGAGTGTAGCAATCAGTGAATTTAATCTTGTAAACCTCTTTAGCTGGTCTTCCAGTTAGTGAGTTTTTGGGCGAAGTCTTGTGCTGCATGATGTTACTTAAGGCACCTGAGGGCCGATTCTCTCTCTCTCTCTCTCTCNTAATTTTTAACTAAGACTTGACTTGCTGTCCATGTAGTAAAAATCATATTCTTAGAGGATTTATTATGGCTATACCTTATTAAAATATGACTCACAAATATTTTGATGAAATACCTGAATGAAGTGTGCACGTCTCTCTCTCTCTCTCTCTCTCTCTCTCTCTCTCTCTCTCTCTCTCTCTCTCTCTCTCTCTCTCGCTCCCTCTATACATGAGATTTTTTGCTTTTGATGCTCATTAATATAAATGTTTATTCCTCTCTACCTCCACAATATAGGGGTAAGGTCTGCATACACACTACCCTCTTCAGATCCCACATCTGGGATTACATTGATTTTTGTTGTTGTTGTTGTTGTCTTTTTAATGTTTATTCGCTAGTATGCTTTTTCTTTTTAAAAGAATGAATATGTAATCATTAGTTTCTGTCGTACTTTCTGAGTTGATTGGTTGACAAGCAAAACTTAATCTACATAGATAATAGAAGTTCTTATTAGATTTGCCACTGTATCCGCTGAATTTAACCAGGACACATACCTTAAGGCTAGTTTCTTTTACGTATGCAGTGTGTGTGATTTATGTTGCTGATTTATTTTTGAACTCATGCACATTGTTCTCTCGGCTTTCCTTTTTCATAGCTGTTAGCATATCTTTCGGTTCTTCTATAAATTCATCCAGATGAATATTTTTCTTGTCCTTTGCGTTGACTGGGTGAAAGTCATGAGTTTTGCTTTTTTTATTTTGCATTTTTGATTAAGATCAACTCTATTCTTTAGTTATGTTCTGTATTGGTTGGAATGAATATATCTTAGTTTTGTTTCCTTTCATAGTGGGGGCATAAGTGAAGAGGTTCTCATCCTGTCCTGCAAGTTGGAACATAGAATTCTGCACTTCAAACCCTTTAACTTTCTTGTTTTGTGAGTTTCTTTTCCTTGAATCATGACTGTTAAACCCTTTTACATCACCTTAATGCAAGAGGAGACTGGGATTGGGTTAGCTGTGAAGGGCACTTATGCCTTGTGTTTAGAAAGTATCCCAGTCCCCAGATGAAATATTTTGCTTTAGTATCGTAATCCAGTTGTGTGGAACTGTGCTGCTTTCCATCTGTTGTGCCTGAATTGCTATGCTGGCTAATTGTGATGGGAAATTTGGTTTTAGAGTGGCCTAAGCTGATGCTTGATTCTTTTGGTTGTGCAGTACTGCTGGCTGCCCCTTTGGTGAGAACTGCCATTTCCTTCACTACGTCCCTGGTGGCTATAATGCTGTGGCTCAGATGATGAAAATGGTACCAGCTCTATCATCGAGAAATACTGCAGCACCCCCCATGTCCAATGGAAATGCTTCTTCTG